GCGCCACGACTAACTTTTGCATGTGAAGCAAAGTTCAGCAACATACTGCCATTTTCTCTACACTTTTTCAAGAAAGGTTTCCACGATTGAATGAAGAGTATGCCAGGTTGGTCAGACACATATGTGAAGGCCTCTCTTTGAAGAATACTGGGATGTTTTCATTTCCAAGTGCGTTATATTTAGGTAAAATATTTTTATTGCTCGCGTTGTTGTTGAATTCTTTGAGCAACAATCAGTCGACACCCAGTAGACTGAAAAATATGTACCACCACTGATCAAACCCGATGAAATTCTACAGCGGCTATCCCGACAATTCGATACGTCATCGCCGGTTCTAGAAAATCCCTCAGAACTCCACTAATTTACATACCCAAAGTGCATCAAACATGTATTGGGCGCTACCAGATACGCCGATTCAAAACCATAGGTGACTCATATTGTCTTGTAGTACATGAAAGATGTTTGTAGCACCCTGTATAGCATAATAAATCCCATTTAATTCGGATATCAGCAAATGAATGATGCCCATTCGGTTATCCATAAACATTGGGTTGAAATGTTCTGAGGTGGCTAAGAGTTCCATTTTTCAACTAAATCAATCCTCAAAGGATTGTGCGTCACATGTGTAATTGATGATAGTGCAGTCTAACATTCCGTCTTGCTATAAATTAGCTCATCTCTGAAGAAATCTCTTACTAATGAGCTTTCTTGTGGTTGAGTATGGTTCATCATTGTCTCTTTGCTGGTAGGATCATCGCTTGGAACGGACATGTAGTCCACCGTTATCCACCGTTCCACTAAAAATATTCAACTGGTTAGGATATTTTTGTGGATTTCTCACTGATGTCCATAAATGGCCATTTGCGCGGTTGTAATAATTCGGGGTAGCTGACACCAATAACTACAAATTAAAGCACATTGAGGATCTTTTCTGTTTCTTAAAAAATAGCTCAGTGTGCTTTTGAAGAGATCAAAGTGGTTCCTGCTTGGGATCGACCAGTGTGCCACAGATTAAGTGTGGCCAAACATTATGAGCTATGAAAGTAACAGGCCGGAAGTGATTCATAACAATATATGAATAATATGAGATCATGCGTATCTTCCCGGAAGAAACCATTAATAAAGTTGAAAATTCACAATCAAGGACAAACAGCACGTACTCCAATGTAATGCCATTAGATACGAAAATATCCATAGCCCCTACCACCCAAATCGTATACAGGATACAGAGTATAAGAATCACACGCCACAAGTATCACGAATAAAAATGAGTACAGAAATGAAGCTGCTTGATATTCAAAGGCTTCGAACTATATTCTTTGATTCTTTTGCGTTTGCTTTCATTCTGGCAGACGTCGAAGTGCCTTTCAAATAAAGACGATCGTTATGACAAAGTCAAGAGTTCGTCCTGTAAACAATACAGTCGACGCTAAAAGTCAAACCGCAGAGTACAGTCTCTTCGCCCTTATTGTGCGGCAATCATCGCACAAAACTACGAAAGTATTTGAATGCGTATGCTGCCGTACACGAAATTATTTCTTTGGGTTTTCCACCACTTCACATCTGATAAATCACTCGGGTGTTGCGGTGGAAAATGCAAACACCGCTCCTCTGCTACTAATTGTTACCCTTATTTTATTAAAAATCGACTCATTTTTGGTATCTGCAGTTTGTTCACAGATCATGACTATTTCACTTGATACAAAACAAAATGCCATCGGTTTACACGTTCTAGGAAGCAGCACAATAATGTTTTGGACTACTTACTAGGCTGCTGAAAACTCGGGGACTGCGCCTATTCGTTGAGCCCCAAGAAAGGGCGAAACCGGTCGGGGGCTGTCGAAGAGTTTTCAGCAACCTTATGAGTAGTTTCCTTTATGAAAAGATACGCGATATCTCCGAATATCGTGCCTACTGAATCATGAGGCGGCCTGTGTGTAGCACATTCAGTTGTAAAATATCATAAATGAGAGATTCAGTTGAGTCTCTAGTGAAAACAAAATTGATTTACAAATGCGTGTATTTCTTGAAAATGTTTTGGGCTCATGGTTGAGGTCTGTCTGATAATATTATTGAACCTTCGAATGTGAAGTGAAACATATGAGAGTAGATGTGATTTCCTCAACGAATTGCGTTTGAACGATGCAGTTATTTACACGAAGCTGTTTCTGGATATTTTACTGTAGACTGATTGTCTGGAACACCGCTGACAATAGCCATTGGATAGATCTTGTATTCTGGATCACTCGAACACATTTAAGACAATGAATTTTAGCTACAGAGGTGGTTCTGCTCATTTTATTTCAACGGCTGTGCAGTATCTGATTTGTACCTGTTTTTGTCCTCGTATAGCAGCCTTTCAATACACTTTTAGACCAAAGCCTTGTTTTTATGGATAACTCTTTATTTATACGCTGTGTTTACCTTTGGCACCCCATAAACTCAGATTAATATTTTCGGACAATGTTTTATTTGGTTGCGCAGTTCCACTTGGCACATCGTCAAGCAAAATCCCAAAACTTACATCACCAGTTTTGAGGAGCACCTTTCTGTGCACTTGCTTAACACACTACGAATTCGCTCGTATGTAGGACGTAATAATTTGGAAATTGCCTCCCACTATGCAAATGCAACTCATGTACTTCTCATACGGTTAGAGAAAAATATCTTTATATCTGTTGGCGAAATTGTGTTCGCCCGCCAAAATCCTTCCCTGTTGGCTAGTTTGTGTCCGAGGAGAATAGACTGATCTTCCGTTTTGTGACCATTTAATCTTTTCGTAAATCATGAAAGAACGGTTCGACTCACGTGAAACAAATTCCATCAAACTAGCAAGACCAACAAGAGAAAATGTAAACACACCAGCCCACGAGGACCAATTTGATTGTTCCCACTCACGTAATTAGGTAGACTAGTTAAATCATTAGACAGCTAAATTTTATCGAAACAAAGTTACTGAAACGAGAAGCTATAAATGTGTCAGAAGGGCAGATTCCCCCTATCAACTCACACCCAACGAAACGGCTCATGTGTGGGCTTGAAGTGTACATCTTGGCCACGATTTTTACACATCTCAGAGAGGACAAAATGTTGAATAAAATATCAGGCCACTGCAGAAACCGTTGAAATAACGGCCAATACAAAACTAAAACTTTTACTCCCGAGGGCATAATCCTGTTTAAATTTTAATCTGGGCTGCTCACGTGCATCTTAATTAGGTGTTCGGTTTTGCGAATGAACACTGAAGAAACAACAGGCAAAATGATAAAATTCACAGTTTTTATTTGTATTTCAAATGTGACATTAAGTCGAAAACCAGGTATTCTTCTGTGATGTTAGTTGACCGGTTCTAGCTGTTCTAGTTTTGTAAACTCCATTTGTAACCGCATTAACGTTTGTCCTCTGAGGTTTTTATGAACTGAAACTGAGTTTCCCAATGAGTGAATGGCAAACTTTTAGTTGAACGAACCTCAATCTACTGGTGAATTTTAGAAGAGATCAGTTAGCAGCTAATCTGTTAACCAAGCTTGGAAATGTGCTTACAAACGCTTGGTCCCCAATCAAGGGGAAATCGTCAGTGCGCTTTTGGGCGGATGCCCTCGCAAGGCTGGCTTTGTGTTGTCTCCCACCGAACACTTCAGTTACGTTACGTTCACTAAGGTTAAGGAGCCGGTTTATCAGATTCCTCCACTGCAATTCGAAAAAATAGGATATTTTCGACGGAATGTTTCAAAGTTTGAACCATATAGGGCGGGAGGTCCATCACAGCACACACTAGCAACTTATTTTCCAAATTGTCTGATTGGTGTTCTTCCAAATAATTGTAGACAAAATTTCTGGGCCAAATCCGGCTCGGATAGTGTAAAAAGGAGTCATCACCATATGATGTAAAATAGGAAATTATTAAACTCAAAATACAAGTTATGGTCAGATGCTTTCTTTGTCGTAGACAACCTTTTTTAAGGACTCCTGCCATCAATTGAATATGAGTCTAGTGCAGTGTCATTTTGGCCCTCTACTTGGACTTGTGGTTGGTATCTTCTCGAGAGTCAGAACGACCAGCGTGCGTGGAGGTGCTAGTTCTGCATGCGCGCAAGCATTACCGTGTTTCCTTTGAGTGAGACGTGTCACTGTTTTTCGTTGTCCAAGCTGTGATCCCCGCCTTACATTTGGCCACTACATGGAGTTTTTAACAGCGTAATATAAGATGTTGAAATCCGAAATTTCGTTTGCCGTGTGCAACGGAGAAATACTCGTGGAATTTAATTGTATTCTGACGTCTTAGATGCACTTCGACCCAGAGTCTTTTGAGAAGTTACGTTCATTGAAGGAAAGCATTGACACATAAATATCTTCTCCTAATTAGCCATTCTGAAACGCCCAAGAAATTCTGTGTTCTGAATCTAGTTCCTTCATAAGGACTTCGACACCTAGAAATCGACCACTTTAAGAATGGTGCTTTGCCACTTAGACAAAAACTACATATACCAAATTTGCTGCAATATACTGAAGAGTTTCCGCAATTTAGAAGTGAGTATGAGAAAATACAACTAAGACCACTTCTCGTGACAAAGCTGGGTAATTTTGGAACCAAAAAAACCACAGCCAAGTAATTTGTATGCAGCTTGAGCACGGGCGTACCGGACAAAAAGTTTCTTAGACGGTCAATCCTGAGTATTTTTCCACTTTTAGCTAAAATGCATCAGAGATGGAAACCCAAAAGAATACGGTTGTAAAAATTCGGGCATCAGATAGCTCAGTGGCCTCAACTCTCGTCATCCTACACTTTGTACACAGTGATGCGTGTCGAGATGGTTACACAGAGAACAAAGTCCACTATAAACTGATGTTGATTTTGAATGAGTGAGCCTAAAGTGCTTAAGTTGCTTATGCATGCCAGAGTCCAATCTGTCAAAGACTAAATGCCCACGTGATTATCTCGTCCGATATGAAAGTCCGCTGGCCACCACTATAAATCACGCAACAATTATGTGACAAGTGGAATATTTAGTAAACATGCTACCGTCGTTCGTACTATACGGTCTGCTGTTTTTTGTCTACAGCTTCCAAGGCACACACTGCGAACAACTGGAAAGCGTGGGAGTGCGAGAATATGTACATCCGACTGTAAGTCAGTCACGTGATTAGCTTTAACACGACAGATTAAGCGATTAATTAGCTTAATTTTGTGGACGTTCATTTGTATTACAGATGATTAGATCACGTCTAGAATGCGTCTAATACACCAGAACGTTGAAATGTGAATAACCGCGCTTTGAGAAGCAACTGTTTCAACTTTGTTCATTGTATGAGAACACCGGCACTTGTTTCCATTTCCAGGCATCCTGTAATCACCTTTGCCGACACACACTTTAACGAGAGATACCGTACATGAAACAGCTTCCAGTTAAATATCCTTTCTTTTACTTGAGCAACGTTAACAAAGCAATGGAAATAATTAATAACAAAACCAATAAGCACACAAATGGGCGGATTAGAGATCACAGTCATTAAAAGAGACTTGTCAGTTTTCCGAAGCGTAAATACTTCATCTATGACCTTAACTAGATCTGTAAAAAGACACATAGAGACAATGAAGGAGCGAATATTTGTAACATGTTCACGGAGGAATAAATGCTCTTTTTGATGGAGAGTGGCACTTTCCTGTGGGTGACACGAGGACTTTTGGAATGCCTCGGAGCGTATTATTTGACCTGATGACGTAATTTTAAATCAACGTTACAAAATGCTCATTCTATCTACTGCCGCCTGCTTCTCCATTTCTGCAGAAGAATCAACATGGGTAGTACGTTTGCTCATGAACGTATCACAACCAACGGCGTTGTTGTTCACCGAAAACAGTGAAATCACCCATGGTTTAGAGCATGATGCATTACCTAGTTACATCAGAGGCGTATATTCAGTTTTATCGGTCATACATTAAATCTTCTACAAAAATGTTGGCCTTCAGTGTGGTCTGAAGAGCAACTGTGTGTATAATAGGTGATGCTTGGATCCCGAGATTCAGGAATAATCAGTATCTAACAACCAGAGCTCATGTAAGAAAGTTTTGTTACTCATGTCTTCACTAGACTCAATAGTGTCATGAGCATAAGTTTAATTCTTCGATTACTTGAAACTTATTTTTTGCCCTACGAGATGAAATTTATTTCAGAATCGATCATAGTTCCTACATAGCACCAGGTGGTTTTGACAAGAACATCACAAACATTAAACACTTAGTGTTCAACATTGTCACGTACATCTCGTTACTCTAGACGTTCTCCTATTCATGGTTGGTTCCTTACCGCGTACCTCTCACCACGTTACTGTCCTTCCTTGCTCACCGCCTCCTGGCACTCGAAGTATCAGTCCTGGACAAACTGTAGCCGAAAGTACACTTAAAGTTTGCACACCGGACCGTGAATCAACCTAACAACTGAAGGCCGCCGCTGAAGATGAGCAGCTCAGCGGTACATACCATAGCATATCCGCGATGAATTTCCATCCATACACCTCTTTCTCAAACAGCAAATGGGACTGTTTAACTGACAATATCCGGAAGAACCGTTATCGCTTGCACTTTGAAAAATCCCAACCAAAATAGAGCGCAATAAGTGAAACGCAGAATACAATCCTTGTAAATCATAACGTGTCTGTAGGGAGGGTGATAACGCGGAAATGGATACGGAAACACCAAACGATTACAGGCTGGGTCAGATGACCTTGTTTTAGAACAGGGAATAGGTATAATATTAACTTTTGTTTAAGCCCACTAAACTCAAGTATTCTTTCTGATCCCACTGTACCTCCAATCGTTTGTTGTCTCAGCTTAAAACCCAAATTCTAGTGGCCCTTTTGTTTTGCAAAAAAACCGTTTGGATTCAATCAGTTATTGTTTGTGGACTGTGGTTTCGAGCATTGAACTATGGGGCACTCTAACGAAGATTTTTCTCCGAATACTTTGCTCATGAATGGGTCACACATTTTGATGATAGATGCCACCTCGAGTGATCACTACCCCAGCTCGCCATGAATATCACGTTGTACAGTAATTCATCAGAACAGTCCGTTAGTCCTAAACCACATCAGTTCATCCACGAATGCACTGGTGTCAAAACTAGAAGTCATCAGAAAAAGAGAACAGTTTATTGAAGTATCCCCTGTGAGTACCATGATTTTATGTTTGATTCTGTCAGAGTGAGAACGCAAGCCCTCCGAAGAACCACAGTCTATCAGTTGCATTTCATTTCATTGATGGGACTACGATCTGGCTTGATTCTGTTAAAAAACGTCGCTAATTATTGTAAATAAAATACAAAAGCATCGCGTGTGTACCTATTATATAGTAAATTGGCGAATTTCTATCATATTAGAAGGGATTGAGTTTTGCTCAATATCTTGATCTTCATTGATCGTTTTCTTACTTTAGACAGGAGCACGGTGGATATCTGGGAGATATCCCAAGCCATTCGCGTCTGCTAACCAGCTTCACCACTTCGGAGCCATAAGGGAACCCGTAGAACAAAGGGCACAGAGGTCAACAGTCAGGCATGAGAATTTCGATTCCAAGCTCATTCCACGGAACTTTGATGCACGAACTAAGTGGCCGCACTGCCCTTCCATTAGTGAAATTAGAGATCAGTCCAGCTGTGGATCGTGTTGGGTAAGTTGAAGTTCCTGTGCATGAAACGTGAGCTTCAGAGAAACGTCGGGCTCTCTCTGTGGGATTTCGTCGCACATCTACTTGGATTTACTCACATTCAGCTGCAATTCATTTTATACTCGTGATATAGATAAAGCACTTTGCAAATGAGTGTATTTAGAGATTCAATCAGAGCATAAGGCTGACGAAAAGACTGATAATGCACCAACATGTTGAACTCAAAGAATCGAGAAATATCTCACTGCATGTTGATCATTTTTCAGCGTCCTTTTTTATTATGTGTTCTGTGAGGCGTACACATTCGCATATTTCGAATATGGCACACACTGAAATATGAACTGGACGTTGTATAGTACACTACTCCAAAAAACCTCATAAACGAGGTGTTCACCTCAGGTTCATTTTTCACACTTACTTAACAACCCTCCTTATCTTCCCAAAATTCTGAGTAGAATCCGGTTGGGATTGCCAAAAGCACCTACGATGTTAGATGGTCTTTCAAATAAACTGCACACCTGAGTGTTAGTCATTCCGTCATCTTCCTTTCAATATAAAGAACATAGCTCGCTGATCATTGATTTGGCACTCTACTGACCGATTTCCGCTCATGGGACAGCATCTGATTTGGTCATGCAGCCGACCGACGTATGCAGTAAACTTATGTTGACGGCAAAACGGCTGTCTGGGGAATGCGCTGGTGTATAACCAGGTTTCTTCGGAACAATCGCCTTAAAGGTGAGTGCTCGCCACCATTTTTACGTGTGATCGCGCAAGGTGGACAAAGTGTGACCAACTGAAGGCCTATAAAAGCAATAAGTGGAGTTTTTGACGCCGATTTTGTGGTCCGTCTTCGGGACGTGTAATTCACACTGCGCTATGCTGGAGATGTTGCAGGGAATGGCATCTGACTAGGCTGTTTCATCTGGCGCACGCGGCTGCCGACACATAAGAATGTCAGCGCTACGCCTGCACTTAAGTGCCGCATCAAAATATCTTTTCAGTTTCACGTAAAGAGTGCCCTAAGCAAAGGTGAGATTCCCTCAGGGGAAACATGTAGTGGGTTCGGACTCAAGCAACAAATCAGTCTATTCCGGCCATTAGAATGTGCCGAAAATGTTCGACTTTAGCCAAACTGAGTTTGTGTCCTTTTTTCCCAGTACTTCGATTTTAGCGGGAAATCGATTATGTTGTTTTTCACGTTGATACACACTCAAACATGCAATGCTGTTCCTGAGTCTTATTGGTCTCAAGTCTATGAGCCTTAGAAAATAATAACAAACCGAGCTTTGGAAAAGAACAGATAGCATTTCGTTATTTTTCTCCGGAAAACCGACACACTTTTGAACGTTTTCTATTCAGGCATTCGGGGCAGTGGAAGCCATGAGCGATCGGCTATGCATTCATTCAAATGGTGCCTTCAATAAAAGCCTCAGTGCGGTTGACCTGCTTTCATGTTGTGAAGACTGTGGATATGGTTGTGATGGGGGTATCCCTTCCAGGGCTTGGGACTTCTGGAAGACGGATGGCATCGTCACAGGTGGTTCAAAGGAGGAACCCGGTGGATGCCGGTCTTATCCATTTTCTAAATGTGAACATCATGGTCGGGGGCACTATCCGCCATGTCCACGTGACCTCTACCCCACACCGGGATGCGTCAAACATTGTGATACGCCAAAAATAGATTACACGATGGACAAAACGAGAGGTAAGTTGAATAGCGAAGCAAATTCCATTGTTGTGGGATGGCGATTTTGTGCCCTAAAAGTGTGAATCACAGATTAATAGTCGGACTGGGCTCAGCTCTAAAATATCATTTGAATACCCTCATGTGCCGGGACTATCAGACGATTCATCCATCCAAATTAAGGCGCAGGCCTGCAGGATATTGAATAATTTAACCAACAAATTACACAAGTACCAGATTAGTTCTGATTCTGTACAATTGTACATTGAATGAACAACCTGACTTGAGTTAAATTGTTTACTGTTTATTTAACTTGCAAACATTGCCACATAATTGCAGAGTCTTGGAAACATCGTTTTGGAACAATTTTTCAGGGGGAAATCAATCTTCTCGGGCGCATTCAGGAAAAACGGCCTTAAGCCACTTTACTTACGTTGGGACTCAAAAACAGTGAGTATTACCGCAAACCAATGAAGATGTGAAACACTGGTGCCCGGGTTACCACATTATCTGGCTGAAAGTGTATACCCCCCGGGGAAATCCTCACATTAAGATAGGATTCGGCATCGCCATATATCATAATGTGCACGTTACCTAATTCCCGGATGGACGTGTTTCCCGAGTGAGGATGGCAGTGATGGCAGGTAACGTAGGAATCTCTTGTCATTACTAAGCAGATTGCTGAATTGTCGGTGATGTTCCTGTCGACAAACTGGCAGCCAAGGAGCGTGTTTAGTGCTGATCAGAAGTGGGCTGTACACAGAGGATGTGCTGAAACTTGATTCCCCGATCAACATGTGAAACAAGTACTCAATGGCATGCTAAGCTGGCAATCCCGTGCGAACCACTCAAGTACGAAAACCTAAGGCCACATCATGAGGGTAACCAAACTAAAATAACGGGTGGACGACACACTAAGCGGTCAGGTACAGCCAAGCCTGCATGAGAACTGTGATTCGAAACATGCCACCAAGAATATCTAAAAAGATAAAGTTGTTAGACTAGCAGAGACAACATTTTCTTATTTGGCCTAAAGTGTGGACTTATCCTAACTTTTCTAGGGAGCCATTCTGGAAAACCAAATTGTTGCGCCCTGTTAGTTGTTGGGTCAAAATGCTCCGCTTCGGTCCAAATTCTCCGTAGTTCAAAACTAAAAATCTCGCAGATGTCTACTTGAAGCTTTCAACCATTTATCTTTCAGCAAATGCATCCTACAACATCCACGAATCCGAAACATCAATCAAGAAGGAGATCATGCTCAATGGTCCGGTTGAGGCTGCGTTTGACGTATACGAAGACTTTACTCAGTACCAATCTGGTATATATTTTCACGCTTGGGGTGAGCTCGTCGGCGGACATGCAATTCGTATTTTGGGTTGGGGAGAGCAAAATGGTGTTCCCTATTGGTTGATCGCAAACTCTTGGAATGAGGACTGGGGTGAGAAAGGATATCTGAGGCTCCTCCGAGGATACAATGAGTGTGGAATCGAAGAAGAAGCAACGGCCGGCCTACCGGATCTTTCCACTATTCCACATTTTTGATATTACAAAGTTTTGTTTGAGATGTTGATCGACTTGCTTGGTTGAATAAATCACCATTCCGCTTGCAAACGGAAGTGTCTTTTGTTGTGAAATCATTGGCAATCTGTGATGATTAGCATGATTGATTAGTAACGAATTTCCATGTAAAAAAGTCACTGCATAATATGTTTACTACGAAGCACAATACTCAGTCTGAAATAATGCATACCACAGTTGAGCTTTATTCAATCTGAGCTCATCCTATCATTCTGGGGTTATGCGGTGCAGTTATTATTAAATTTTATTTAGTTTGAATGTGTAGTGATCCACAGCGAGCAGTTTCATGGTCCAAACAGCCAGAAATTACAATGCCTACTTCATGATTTATTTCACCACAAAATGAGATTAAAGAATGACAGCAAGAGTTTTTGGCGTGTGTGCTTTTAAAGGGCCAGACTGGGTTGAGGCCACTGTATTTGGGAATATTAAAAATGTCTTATTACTCGCATTTAACCTCAACACGCAACGATTTGGATTCCTAATGTTCTTTCGGCACATCGCTACCTCATATTCCACGCGAACACACTGTCTGAGTAGGACACAAATTAAAAACTGATGCGATGCAAGATCACATAAGAAAACGTGCAAAGCTTCATAACTGTCGGATGACAACGAACACATCATTGGCAACGGGTTGTACGCCAACAAAAAATGATTAAAATAAGACTGAGAAGCATGTATCAAGGCAAAGGTAGGAAGAATGAGCCAATCAACAATTTCCCCATAGATTGGAGTTGCTTTCCAAATTTTTATGCATACTTTTGTAGACTCTGAATGCAATGTGTGTACGTGTAAGTAGATGTGATGATCCTGCCTGAAATTAAACACCCAAGATTAGAACCCTCAAGCCTGAAAATCCAACGAAAACCGGCTTCAAATGAATCACCGCACTGCTGGCGAATTTCGGTTGCATCGGGCTTCTCCAGGCTAGGTAAGTTGAAGAAGTTCATCAAGCTAGTGTACGGGACCTAATGTAAGCATTAGAATTAAACCGCATTTTTTCGTACAAGTTACTGCAGGAATGGCGCATAGTTCCCATGTTTAATTTAGTTGTACAGGTCCGAGTGTCCCCGTCGTAAAAGTAACAGGAATATCTAGAGCATTACCTGGTTATTCGGATTTGTACTTGGCATTTGCTATACAACATTTATTCAGAATTGTTCACCAAGTGAAATATCGCCCCATTTTTTTGTTTTTCACGTACTGGGATAGCGTGAAAAAAAGATTCCCACAGCTTCACAATCCATATTTTTTTAGAATATACCCAGGGTTTTCCTGGACGATCAAAGGTGCGATTGACTCTTCACGATTCTATCATATGCACCATCAAATGATCAAAGTACAGAAGATTTGTGGTTGGCCCCTAATGAAGTAATTCCGAAAAAATGAGTTTTGTTCTGACACGCCAAACAACCTGAGCAGATAGCTTTTAAACGGCAGTTTCGCACAAGAAAGCTTGTTGGTTTTTGCATTTGTGTCTGGACACTGTGTTGTAATCTGTACCTAGAGCATGCTTCAAGATATTATCTGTAAATGGACCTGTAAATACATCGGTCTCCAGGGTTGAGAAGACGATCAAAATGTCCCAGTGGTAAACGAAACTTATGGCTCGTTTCAAATTACCGTGCAAATTTCCTGGCAGTATTGACCGTTCAGCTGTTATTAAGTGTGGTATGGTTTACTGCATGGATGGCTGTTTCTGGCACTTGACTGAAACTGTTAGTGCAATCTAGCATGCAGATGACCGAAAGGATGAAGTCCGCAGCCTTCAGAATGGCCGGGCCAGAACCACGATAATGACCCATAACGTCCACATATTTCACTTAGTTTTTCAGAATCATTACAGGGAGGTAGGACACTGTTGTCAAATGTTTGTGCAAGGAACTAAGATCACTTATATTTTTGTAAACCGGAAATTTTATGATATTTTTAAAGCAAATTCTCGTAGGATGTCAACATGATTGGTTCGAGGTTGTGAGGACACTTGCACTGATTCTTGATATTTCTGACAAGAGGTGAACTAATACTACCGTTTTTAATAATTGTTCACTATATCCGATGTGTGCACCCAGTTGCTTGAAGCTGTCTTTGGTAAGTGAATGTTTCACATTCCACTCCAGATTTCTTAGATGGCAGAAAGAAGCGCACACGAATAGAACAATTTCTCACCCTACCTTGGCTCCAAATTATGTTCACTTCCTCGACAATCCGGAGGATTTTCGATGAGTTCACCTGGGTGTGTGGCGTCTTCAAGTAAACTATGATAAAAAGGGGAGTTGGCTCAGAAACTAACCGCATGTGACGCGTGATGTGGTCAATTTTTTAGGACGTAATGGATGTAAACGCCGTATTTTAGACATGGTATGCAAGCCTTATAAAATAACGACGTATTCATTACTAATGGAGATAATCTAGCTGAAGTCCGGCACGGACCCACTAAATTATTTCCGAATTCGAAGGGCATGTAATGATATATGTATCTGTTTAAACGTATTGAACTCGAACTTTGTTTCTGTCTCAGTCAAAAGTAATTAAAAATCATACCGAAATTCACACAAGTATGTGAAACCCAGTTATACTACTCACGCGACGTTTTATGGCTTCTTTCCTTGGTTTGCCCTCAAATTCCTGACGGATTGATTCAGACACTTCTCTAACTATTTAGTGATTCTCTTGTAAACAAGCTGAACACAGGAATAGTTCCGTGTATAAAAAGAGGCTGCGTTGAAAGCACTTCAATGCTGTAAATGGCTGATTGTTTTAGGAATAGTTTTCGAAGATCAAATCGCCGTGGAGATAATTCTTCATGATGATACACTCACCAGCTTTACTGGCGTACAGGTAGCCATTCTTTTTCAAAGTACGATGTATCGGCTTATTTTGATACCTAAAGAATATGTAGGCACAGCAAACGCACACCTTTTTATTACCAATAAGGCGTCTTAGCTAATTCGGGTGGTAGAACACGGACTTGGATGTCATTAGCCGCCCCAGTCACACGTTCAACATCAGCGAAGGCGGTACTACGGAATACAGAGGATTGATTTTCTAATTCTGACGGGTGGTGTATAGATGAACAACTGCCGGGAGATCTCGGCTTCAGTGATGGCTAAATACCTCCTGAAACTAGCATCAACAAATCGGCAAAACCTGGACAGCGACATTTCCTGATTAGGCGTCATTGTTTAGATTTCCCTCCCAGTGCGTAAACTGATGAGGATGTTGATGACGAAATATTCACGCTTGTCCATGTCATCAGAGGTTAATTCAAGTACTTCAAGCTCATTAAGGAGGCGGGGAACAAACGCACCCTCTCATTCCTGTTCCCGCTCCCCAGATATCCCATGATACAAACTTCAGTGTCCATTTGATATGGAGCGTCTATCAAGGACAAGAGGCAATTAATCGGATTCGTTCCCCCTGCAACTTCCCAAATGTGTGCGCACACGAAGGATCGAACCGTTCCAATGGCGTCACTAAAAGAGTGATCCTGCCACAGGCTACTGGATTTGATCAATTTGGTTGACGCAGGTCCCGTGAATAGCCTAAATTGAACCACGTGGTACACAACGAATGTCTATAACGCAGGGGAGTTACAAACGCATTACGATGTTGCCGACTGATGGAGTTCCCACATAAGAATCCTTACAAGCTAGTTTTTACACGAAGAAAATCCCACACAGTTTTCCATCCTGATATTAATTACACCGTATATTACGTCGTCCAAGCTTGGTCACATTTGTGTGCATCTGATCGGGATACATCGTCTTTCTGGGTAGGCCAAATGGAGTCTGTGATATCTCCGTGGCATCGTGTAGTGGAATCATGTGCCAGAGCTACCTCGGTGGTACCCCTACAACGATACGCTTCGCTATCCACCAACAGAACATCTTAGGTCGGAATGCAGCTTCAACCAAATGTCCGGGTAGTGTTCATACCAAAGCACCATGCAGGATTATCTCTTGTTCACCTGAAGTCCATCCACTGGGCCAGATTCCCAGTGTCCTCTAATTGGTCGAATACAGCTCATAGGTCACAGCTTTTGGATGGCGAAAATGACCGCGGAATTTCTGAATCTGAATGCTGCAGTTTAAATAATTTACCGTACTCTGCCTTACCCAGATGTATCCAGAATGTGTGGTCACAAGTAATTTTTGGCATTGATGTGGCTGGTGTGTACGGTCTGGAACGTTTTACCAGCGGTTAGTTTTGAACATGATGTTTCCCTGTAACTGTTAATCAAGCTCTTCTATTTTCATGATGCACTAGGTTTCTCCTACCACATAGTTAATGGACTGTGTGGGACTGAAACAAAACAATTCAGGGCAGTGTCATGTTAAAGTTCACCCATATCCCGTGGATAATTTCATACAATATGGAAGAGGTACCGGAATTTGCATACCGTCAAGTCTTATCATTCGACACTGTGTAACAAGTGTCGTCCACACGCATGTTGTGATTATTAGACCGCGAACGAAGTCCATGCTAGCAAGCTCGTTTCGCATGCTTCGTCAAGCTCAAAATAATGAAACTGACTGTGATGCCAGAGTCCATTCGTTAATTCCGTAGCTATCAACGTGAGAATATTTGCCGATGTGAAAGTCCGATGGCTATCACTATAAATCACGCAACAATTGTGACACGTGGCATATTCCGTAAACATGTTACCGTCGTTCGTACTATACGGTCTTTCCTTTTTTATCTGCAGCTTCGAAGCCACACAGTACAAAAAACTGAAAAGCGTGGGAGTCCAAGAACATGTACATCCGACTGTAAGTCAGTCATGATTAGTTTGAAGATTCGGGGAGTAATTAGCTTAATGTTTGTGGACAGATGATTAAAGATGATTACAGATGATTAAATCACGTCTAGGATGAGTCTAACACTAGAACGATGGAATGTGAATAACTGCGCTTTGGGAAGCAACTGCATCAACTGTGTTCATTTTTAAGAGGACAGGG